TTATTACATGAATGACAAGTAAAAGAAGAAGTAGAAATATGCAAATGCGATTATGCAGCCGCAAGAATCCTTGTCTTTTGAAGACTGGGATGTCCAAGCCTCATGTGCCATGCTTGGGCTGTATTTTTGGCAGCGGTGAGGGCCTTGTTGCTGGAAGAATATGTCCGAGCACTGATGGGATACAGCTCGTTCTTACAAGGGCCTTGAAGAAGGATTTGGTGCGTCGTCGAGTCCTTAATCACAAAACCAGATGAGTCAAAAATGATAAAAATATTGTTATCTTGAGTTAACTTGGAAATAGAAAGAAGATTATAATGAAGAGACGCAGAGTGAAGGATTTGTGACAGGTTAAGCATACGAGACGGTGTTGGAAGCAACCCGTTCCCTGTGTTTGCTATGTTGACAGATCTGCCGTCGCCAATGGTGATGCTGTCAGAGTCGGGATATGGTGTAGCCAGCGACAGATTGTCAAGTGAGTGAGTTAAGTGCGATGAGGTTCCTGAATCAAGAAACCAGTTGGAGTTGGAACTATCTGAATTAGCGATCATTGCTCGGGAAGCTGATGGAGCTGATTGAGGAACATATTGTTGGTTGAAGCGATGCCAGCATTCAGATGCTGAATGCCCCTTTTTGTTGCAAATATGACAAATAGGGAGCGGAGCATTGGAACGAGACGTAGTTTGAGATGATCTGCCCTTGCCGCGACGTCCACGCCCACGATACGTATAAAGAGCTGTAGTAGAATCTGAAATTTGCTGAGGGTGTGGATTGTCAGTATTGAGGTGAATTTCTTCACTAATAAGTAATGAGTAGATATTTTCAAGAGTTAAGGGAGTTTGCATGGTCCGAATCACAGTTTTGAACGGCTGATATGAGGGTGGGAGACCTTTGAGCGTATACAGAATAACGTCTTCAGTATCCACAGTGCACCCAGCGGCAGAAATTTGATCTACTAGGGACTTAATATCAGTGAGATATTGAGTCATAGTAGATGTTTTGAGAGCGATATTGTGAAGCTCGTTCTTTAATTGGATTACTTTAGATCGATTGGTGGCCTGAAATCTTGCTTCTAAAGTAGACCAGATGGCAGAAGTAGAATCAAGATTGATGATGTATGGAAGAACCGCCGGAGAAATGGTGGAACAGATGGCAGCAGCAAGATTCTGATCCGTTAGTGTCCATTGAGCGTAGGTTGTCGTCGTAGTTTGTGATCCGTCCGGGCTTGTCAAGAACTGAGGCTGAGCAGCGACATTTGAGTCAAGAAACGACTCAAATCCATTCGCTCTTATGATTTTAAGAACTTGCGATTGCCAGAGCGCGTAGTTGTCGGCGGAGAGAGGTGTAGGAACATCTGCGTGAGATGTAGCAGAGGATGAAGTAGCCATCGGGAGGTTAGGATATATATATATATATATATAGGCAATTAAGATAGCTGTAACAATATGATCAAGAAAAGAACTTGAAGAATTTGACTAATAACATCATTATAGCATAGTATTTAAAGTGTTACCAAATGATCATGTAATTCAAGAACTCCATCTAAACATCCGAAAGGCGTACGGCTAAAATATTCTTCTAATTTTTAAAATAAATGATAAATAAAATATATGATTAAAACTCATTTTATTTATATTAAAACTCCATCTAAATTAAACATCCTAAATCCTTCAGTTACTCCCCGACACAAATGTCAAATTGAGATACATGATGACCAATAAACTAATATTTGATGAATGTAGAGGATGATAATGATGATGGAGCGCGCAAGGGTACGTATCCCATTGAATTTCTCCTTAAAATGTAAAAAATGTTGGCAGACATGTCTATATGAACATCAATCGATTCTTCTATGAAAATGTTATTCTATTTTAATGTAGCAAATTCCCCATCTTATTTAGCATAATTTGTTCTATATGTTCCTATGGTGAAGGCCTTAAACCTCCGTCATAGTATAAGCTCAAAACATGAGTAGTGAAGAAGAATAGCATTGAGAAAATTATTGACGAGATTAAAAAAAAAAAAAACTCATAGATAGACTGCCATCACAATCATATCTAATGGTTTATCTAATAATCAAAAAAGAAACTTGATCGAAATTCTAATCAACAATCCCAATAAAACCAAAATTTTTAAGTTTCTTAATGCATTGGATCAGGTAGACCTAAGAAGATTTGGTTAGAAAATATTATAAATGATATTTATTTATTAAATTTAAACGGTAATTTAACTTTTAACATGACACAATGAAGAAAAAGAATTCATATAACCTACCCCATATAGTGGGACAAAGGCTTGATGTTGTTGTTAATATTGTAATGCATAGGAACAGGTGAAGGATTCCGAGTATATTTTTTGGGTTACTGTGAATAAAGCAAATAATCCAAGTTATGGAGAGAAAACATCTGTATTGAACTCCATATGCAGCATATTGCATATAATTAGTTCTTGAAAAATTATGGAGAGTTGCCTCAACACATGAAAGCTTAGACCAAAGTCCAAAAAGATTAGCAAGTTCATTACAATCATAATTGGCTAGGTTTTTTGGCTTTGATGAAAAAGTTTTTTTAAAAATAACTGACATGACCATTGACTATTAAATTTGTTGTGGCATATCTGATCCTACAAATGGTTAAATTGTGTTTGGGCTAAGAAGCCCAAAGACTAAAAAGCTGGGAAAATTATTTTTAGTGATAGGTTTTGCTTAAGTGTGACTTATGCTATAATACTAAATAAGCCCTTTGTTCATGTTTAAAGAATAATTGATGCAAAGAAAAAAAAGCCTGATATGAATTTTATTTATAATACGATGACTGAGGCAAAGGAGTTTATAGCAAGGAACTTAGGATGAGAGCAGTCCAATTACAAAGAAATTTGAAAATTAATTAATGAGAAGTGAGAGCTTTAGCTTGACAAGTATTTTGATTACAACAAGCTAATGATCTGGTTAAAAAAAAATTTCCCCATATGATTTTTAATATTTACTAGTTAAATTCAATCAAAATTATATATTATGTTAATTATGTGTGTTTTTTATTTAGTTTAATGATTGATTTAATTTGGTGATTGCATTCCAGAATTATAGAAATTTGCTATCTAAGTATAAATCTTACATGATCATCAGCAATGTGTGGCACATATAACTAAGTTATACGAAAAAGAGAATTCGGTTGGTTATTGAAGGATTAACTCATTTGTTTATATTAAGTAAAATAAGAGATAAAAAAGAAAAATATTTGAAGATGACTATTTTGGAGTAAGACTAGGAGCTATAACTATCAACATTCATTATTTTAAATCTTAATTAATATTCTTATTAATTTTCATTGTTTAGAGAAGAAGAAGATAGTTGAATAGATGAATAGGAGTAAGACTAGGAGCATGTTGATTGAAGGATAAAAGAGGAGAGAAAGCATTTCATTTTAATGATGATAATGATAAAAACCCACATAGTGATGAGAGTATTGGAGACTTTTGAATTTATACTGCTAATGTTGTGACCAACAAAGGCTTCGTTTGGGACAATTTTCTTTCTGCTTCTTAAAGCAATGTTTTAGTATAAAAATTTTAATTTTGGTCCTAGAAAGCTGCTTTATGAAGCAGTAAGAAAGCCATCACAAACAAAACATAAGTCCCTGAAGAAAACTACACTGGATACTCACTTTACTTCAGCCAAACTTCGTCAAAAAAACGTCCTATTTTATTTATCAAGGAATTTCAGAAAATTATCAGGTTCAAATGAATAGTAATAATCGATTGAGCATGTTCTCCAGCTTCTTCAACTCGGAGTTTTTGTTGCGAAAGATTTCTTGATACCTTCGCATTTTTTCACAGTTTGCTATAATATTGTAGAAGGTTCAGCATAGTTTCATTGTAAGAATGTTTTCTCCTGCAAATAAAGGGAAGTGTTTATATGGTTGGCTTCATATTACAAATAGATTGGGCATTCCATGGTAAATCTGAACATGAGCTGTTCATAATCAACTGCATTCAAATGTAATACATCATTAAAATGCATCTATGTTCTTGTAAGCTAGAGAGCCAACCCAAAAGTTCAACTAATTTATAGATTTTGGTCGCCTAGTAGTTATAATGGCGTCGATCAACATTATTTTTACACCCCAAGAAATATTGGCGATAGCCAACATCAATTGTCTTGAATGTCATTAAGGAAGTACCGAGATCAAAGATATATTTCACATTTGAACATATTTTAAAAATCCTATATCTTTGTGCCTATGTGCCAACTTATAAGTAACTATTGGTGTTGCCTCGAATTTGGTTCGACCTTTCACTACAAGAAAATGGGTCAATAGCGATCCCTATTTGTTCATATGCTTGATCGTTGTCATGCGCTTCATAAATATATATCGGGGGTCCAATTGCCTAAAAACTTTTGTAATATAGATGCAGGGGGACAAATTACCTAAGGAATCATATAATAATATTTTTTTTAGCGCCCCCCTTCCCTCGACCTAAACGGTGTTCCGCCCCTATTTATGCCTAATGTTGATCTTGCACTTCAAATAGTTCTTATTATGACAAAATAGTTATAAATTATTAAAAGTCCTAAAATGCCCTTTACTTGTAAAAATCATTGGATGACCTAGTTGGCATGATCATAGAGAATGTGGCTGAAGTCCCATTTTGCACTCCATAGCTCGAGCGATTATTCTTTGTGGACACCGGATGGGAGAATCGTCCGGTGCGCAATTTTATTGGTCTCCGGACAAATCTGAACCCGCACGTAATGATTTTTTCCATAGCTATGCTCATTATCTTAGTTGAACAAATTGATGGACGCTTCTAGCGCTCAACTATGGAAACAAAAAGAGGTTGGAAGTACCAATCAGTGGGCAAGCAATGCAATTATCTTTTTTTTTTTTCTCTCTTTTTTTTTCAAGGAGTTCTTAAACGTGTTCACATTTTAGGCGTTTTACAAAAAAAATTTTTTATAGCAAAACATAGAATATTTCAAAAAAAAAAAAATCCCTGGCCCCCACAAGTCTACAACATTTAGTCCAAGTCAAATCAAACATCAAATTACTCCAAGCTAAAACACAGCAAACACAATGTTTTTAACACAATATAGATATTTTGACCTTAGCAGTCATATCATCCAAGGAAATAAAATGTTTGGCTCAGTCTTCTCAAGTGAGTTGTAATTGAGAAGCTTCTCAATGAGATCAACGTGAGTCATAAGCATTCTTCTGCAGCAGTAACGGACCAATCCAAGAGCATCTAAAGCATCGCCCTCGGAGTAATCTGCCTGAAGAAGATCGAGATATGTATCCCACTTACTGCCAATCACCTTTCCACATGTAAAGCAACGAACAGGGATGATCATCTTCGTTGTCTTCCTTGTGCAATTTCACAGCAACCTAGGTCAGTTATTCCACCAAAAAAACTCTTTGCTCAGCCCTTCACAGCTAGCGAGCTCCCGTTGTTGCTTCCGAACAAAATGTCGTAACTTCCGATCCGACAGAAGGGGAAAGTCGAACAGCCACGAAGGAGCCGAAGAAGCGACGCCTGCAATCTCAACACCTCCTGCGAAGCAACGAAGCTGAACAGCAACGACGAAAACAGCAGATTTTAGGCGTTTTACAATAAATTTGTTGATTTCACTTATTTTAAAAGAGCAATATTATGGCCCATAAAAGATTTTACACAATCTCTCTATACAATAATCTACTTTTTATTCAATTTTCTAAACCCTAAACAATGAATATAAATATAGAGTTTTGCCTCAAATTTTTAAGCAAGTTATTTAAGGAACATCTCAATGGTCTTAACATGGTTATTTGCAAAATGTTTAGATATTGTAATCCAGATCTTCGATTAATTAGTCATGTAAATGGAGAGTTCCGTATAATACTAAGCACTTGATTCTTGAATAAATAATTGCTTATTGAGTTTTCTACTCTTCCTATAATCTCATGCACCCAATTAAGATCTCTCAAGTGTTAGTGATGCAACACTTGAAATGGAATTTTAAGAAAAAGAAGATCAAATTCACAACGGACTGCCTGTTGAAGTAATCTTCATTATCATCGATAAGATAAAGGATTAATTTAGTTTCTACTATATAAAGGTTATTTTCATTTTTGTTTCATTGCTCTTCATTTTTCCTTAGAATGTCAGCTATCTAGTTTGTTACTCTTGTTATTATATAAAAACACTAAAAAAATTGCCTTTGTTAAACTTACAATCTATCATGTTAATCAATACTGGTAACTAACATAGCTAGTGTTTGACAAATAAATGATGATAATATCTTTTTTAATTTATAAAAATAATCTCAACTCATTCCTATATCAAGAACCTTGTATCAACTATTCAAATTAACTCATATCTAGATCCTGACATACTACAGGAAAATTATCGATTACCGGCGGAATTTTTTAGCGGCATGACGGCGATCAATTTTCCGGCGGCTTTCCGACGAAACACAATGAGACAGCTTTTTTGATGGATGTTTCCAGCGGTTCTTTCCGACGTAATTTTCCGACGGCTTTTCTAGCTTTTCGGTGGATTTTAAATAATTTAAATAAAATGATTAAAAATTTAACTATTTAAATGATTAAAAAAAGATTCAAAATTATATTAACTAATTTAATTTAACTATTTCCTTAAGTAAAAAGATTTAAATTTAAAATTATTATTTAAATTTTAATTTTTTTAAATTTTTTTCAGCAGCACGGGAAGGCGTTCGGGCTAGCGAGCAGCGCGCCTGGGCAGTTGGGCGGGTGGTCAGCTGGCAACTCGGCGGGAAGAGAGTGGGCAGCATTGAAAGGCGTATGGGTGGGCGGGCAGGGTGCTTTGTAAGCTGGCAGCTGGCCTCGGGAAGGCATCTGGGCAGTCAGTGGTAGCTTGGGTGGTTGGGCAACCGGGCACAAGGTTTCTTGAATTTTGTTTTAATTTTTTCGGTGGCCAAATGGAGCCAGATAGCCACCAGTAAATTCTAAAGCCACCAGAAAATGATCAATTTCCGTCGGAAAATGTCGCCGGTAATAGGTGATTTTTCTATAGTGACACCCATTTTACAGCATCATTAAGACCCTCGGCAAATCATCTCATGGCTTGGTCAAGTAGGAACTATCACCCTTTAATGTCACCAACCAACACTTGTCGTGCATCGTGAAACATGAAAGTCATGTATTAGCATATACCTAGGTCATTGAAACCCATCCTCTCTTAATCTACACATGATCATCAATCATGTTATGCCTTGATGCTAGTCTTGTCACCAACAACTATTTAAGGAAACTTCAAGTATTTAAAACTTATTATTTTCCTCCTTTCTTCTTCTAAATTCATTTTAAATCATTATTCACTCTCTCTCTCTCTCTCTCCCACTCTCTAAGTCCTCTATGAATGTAAATCTTATCATAACTTCTCATTGGAGTCTTGTTTGACACCTCTCTCTTCAAGTTCCTTTAATTATATACCCATCTTCTCCTTTCACAATCATTATGCAATGTTGTAATCATACTCTAAACATGATGGAAAACTTCTTTTCCTTCCCTGTAATAAATGTAGTACTACAAATCATAGCACTATAAACTATGATTTTCTTTCTATGGTACTTTTTTTTTGCTCAAGTTCTTCATTGAGATAAGTGTCTCTGAATGTTCATTCTCTTTAGTAATATGAACTTAGATTCCTGGTTGAAAATTTCATTAAGTGCAAACTTCTTGGGGCATTTTCTTTAGTCTAGTTAAGCTCATACTTGTTAATGATCTCTCTTTCCCTCCAATTTTGGCATTAATATACTTATCGCTCATAACCTCAACTAAAAATTAGTTTTACCCTCAAGCATTAAAAACATTGTCATCATCCATTATAGCTCCCATGTTGCCAATGAAATCAATCTTGTCAAGGTACTACATCATGGTCTTCATTATAACTCAGTTCATGCCCCCACTATGAGAGGGACTTCAAAGAACTTTAAGCAAAGTCATCATATGAAATTGGGAAGTTCTCCCTTTAGTTTCTTAGGGTAAATTTGACATTATTTTATATAAAATAATGTAATAACTACATGATCTTTATGATGAATAACAACATGATTAGATCTTTTAGGGTGATGGTGGAAGGGTCATTTAGATTGAGTGAAAAGAATATTAGTGTTTGAATAGATTTGGTGCCAAAATGTTTAGGCTTTACATAATCAATTTTTCTTGAATAAAAAGGGAGAGGAACTCCAAATCAAAAGTTTGAGATGTTACAAAATTAATGATGGCATTTTTATGAATTTTGTATTAGTGGTTAATAACTTGAAATGTTTTTAATATGGTTGGTCAAAGCAGAAATTGTCTTTCTATATTGGGCTTTTGAATAAACTATCTTAGTGTTATTGAAGAGTTGAGGCCTTCAAAGGTTATGAAAGAAGTGGAGCTCAATTTTTCTTCAAGCTTTTCATCAGTTGCATCGATGTTTTACTTTCTTGAATAAATGTTTCTTTACTGATGAACCCTCTACTAACATGAGACGACCACTAAACAAGCTTCAAAATAAATCCTTTTTGAAGCTCATTGATAATACTTGAGGTCAAGACTCTTTTGAATTTCCTCACTTTAGAAAAAAGATGGGTTGTAGAATTGTTCAAGTTTCCAAAATATCGAGCAATGAAGTTCAAAGAATGAAGTTCAACACAATTATTGACTTGTGAAATATATGTCAAGAATCCAAGCATTTCATTGATTCCAACACTTTAGATATATTTGTGACTGCAACTAGGGTTTGGGGTATGGCGACAGGGGCGGTGGGCAAGTTGAATTGGATTGCAATATTTTGCTCTTGTGTCCTTTTAATTTATTTTCAAAAGATATAAAGAATTAAAGAACTAATGTACACACCAATTCACTTAAGTTAATTTAATCAAGCCTAGATATGGAAAAACATTGAGCTTAGAAACTCATTGAATGTTGAACTGGATTACCCACTCACAAATTAGATTTTGCCAACTTGAGAATTACTCGATTCCTTCAAAATGGGAAGTTGCACAAATCCTTAACATTAGCAAGTTACCATATAACCAACAAGTCTCATGAATGCTAGCCTTGACTAGGTCCTTTATGTTAAACTGTCAAACTTGATCAAATAACTCATAAAATCATCTTCTTTCTAAAAGTGTTCACCGTGAGTACTTACTAATATCCAAAAGTGCTCAACTTAAGTACTTACCAATATGTTGAGTGTAATTGCACAATGTACCTACTAATCGACAATAACTCACTAAGGGTATTTGCCAAGAATTCCAAATTAATCGTAAAGGATTCAACTACACAATAAAACAGACTTGCTCACTTGGAGCTACCTCAGGCTCACCAAGTAAACTCTCCCGCTACACGATTAACTACAACATGATCATCACATTCCTTCTTTATGTTATATATTAAAATGTATACTCTGCAACATCAAGCAAAATCTCAACCACAACTTCTTGTACAACTATTTTGTTACGACATCACTCAACTCACTAGTTCTGCCTTTGGCATCCCTTTCCTTGTGGTTAAGGTAACAAATTCGACAATGGCCAGATCCCATAGTGTGACGGGCAATGTGTACAAGGCCTAGGAATGAATTCACTATTGTATGGCTGACAGATGATTACTAGCAATTCTAGCTTTATGATGGCAAGTTGCAACTTGAAACTGGAATCGAGGATGGGTTTTGGAGATAGCTCACCCTCCTGGGATCTTGACCCTTTGTCCCTACCATTATAACATATGTCATCCAAGGCATAAGGTGTATGATTATTTGACGTTAATATCACCTTCCTCTAGCTTATCATCGTCAGTTTGTTTATGGTTCCAAAATCAATGGCGAAAACTAAATATGAGTGTTGTGTTCATTGCAGAACTTAACCCAACATCTTACGGCACAAGCTAGCTACAACCATATATACACCACATGAATCTTTATTTTCAAAGGCACTCCTCTGTTTCAAGAGGATTCATAACATGTAATCATTGCTTGTGCTCCTTTTGAGTTTCATTCTCACAAATGTACTTCTTAGGTGGGATGATTAATATGTTAGCTACAACACTGCATGGGTAAATATGCATAGCGACTAGCTAGTATACATTATTTATGGTTAAGATTATTGGGATATCTAGCCCCATTTCCTCTCCTAGCTTTCGTCTCTCAGTGTTAGTTCCAACTCAACATAGAGTACTTTTTTCCATTGGTGTTTTATCTATTCTCTACCCCTTTCAATGATCCACTTGAAATTCCCTTGCCCCTAATGTACTCGAACTTGATAGATTTCACCATCAATCGAGGATTGAACTCGGAGATTTAATGATGTACTTGAAAAGCTACTTACACATGCTTTGCGGTCAATCATTCTAACTGGATAACGCTTGAATCCTCTGTCTTTAAATAAGGGGTCTGAGGTTAAGATCAAGAATGAAAATTCATAAAATTTGACATTT